ATGCTGTCGATGATAATGATGATGATGATTATTATAATGGTGATATACCACACAAACATAAGTAGAAGGATCGCAGGCTGAATGGTCTTCTACTGTCACATCAGATAATAGGGTTGATACTGAGAGAAGAGTATGGCATTTTTGTTAGGATGTCCTATTTTAGGTGAGATCACTCTATGCTGAAAAGCCAAGAAGCACTGTACAGGTGTTTCATCCTTATTGGGAATCGTCCCCAATGTACATCACACACTGCTGATCAGCCACTTGTGGCCGAACGGTTAATTGTTCAAACTACTAGCCAGGAGGTCGCGGGTTCGAGGCTCTTCGGCGTTTCGTGAGATGCGCACTGCTGACGATTCCCAGTAAGGATGAAACAGCTGTAAAATGTTTCTCGGCTTTTCAGCATAGATTGGCCTCACTTACAAGACGACATATTTAGGAAAAATAGTAGGGTTATATACTTAGGATCCAAATTTATCAGTCCTTCTTATACTTTTGACTAGTGAGAAATGGCTTTATGACGTTCGTTTGCAATATGCCTCTTTACTGACCTACTGAACCTGCCCACGTAGTTCCGGGGAATCACTAGTGAGAAATGGCTTTATGGCGTTCTTTTGCAATATGCCTCTTTACTGACCTACTGAACATGCCCACGTAGTTCCGGGGAATCACATGTCTGAATTTCATGCTTTTGATTCATATTCAATCACTAGGAGTGGTAACTCGAGTGTTATGAAGACTGCCCATAATCCCTGCTGCAAAACGGGTGACAAAACGAAATTGCGGACCGTCGGTCATCTACTGCCTTGACCCGATATCGCAACATACGACGCTCCTAGTGCATTCTACTCATCTGCGCGATATCACGTGTTACGACTTGAATATTCAACGAAGCAATTTTCGAGACTAGTCAGGCGCTCCGAGCGCCCCAACTCGATGGGGGCGGGGTTAAGCGACTCAACATTGCACTGTTTTTTCAGCCGTCAGTAATGTTCACGCCTAATGTGACTGAAATAAAATGGTTGTCTGGTTTCCGTTTTAGCGCTGGTATGAAATGGATCAGAATGGCAACACCGGGAGTGCCTGGCCTAACCAGGTAAGATGATTCCATCTGAAATTGGTATTTTTAAACTGCGGTCTGGCGATAGTTTTCAGCAAAAGTGCACCTCCTTTGCTGTTTGATAAGACGTGAATTCCACCGTACTTTTCGGAAGGTTTAAGATTAATCAGACGCAAAGCCGCAAATGAATTATTCTCTCGAATGTGTTGTATAGACTGGACCAAATCAGTAAGCGAACATTCAGTTGGACACATCACTACTACTGTGTTATCAGCTTTAGTAAAGATCATCTCGAAAGCTCTATATCAGGTATGGTGGAGGTCCACACTCATACACCTCAACCACAGTCAGCATAGCGTTGGCAAATAGTCTGAAGAAGGGCGAAAAGGGTTCTACGAGAGCCTATAAAACCCGCCTTCTGGTTGGAGGACAGTTGTCTAGTCACTCCAGTGGGTGGACCAAATTTGCTTCACTAGTGTACTTTTATAGGTGCTATCATGGAGACTTTAGAAGCAAGCCAGCGATGCCAGTTCACTAGTCCTCTTTCCTCGGTGTCTCCTCAAGTACTCGTTGAAATGGAAACCTGATTTAGCCCTGATTCTTTTCAGTCAGTTTGGAGATCACCATAGAACAGCTCGATTCGAGAGTTAGGAAAACCTGAAATTTTTAATCGATCGATGGATAGTGTAGTCGTGCCTAGTGTGAGCGAAATAAAGTGCAACTAACTCTTTACTCAATCCTATTCAGTTATTGATTTCGAATGAGTTCGGGATCACATACTGAGATGACTGATGAAGGCACAATACAAGTGCGTACGGGTATTCCAACTTGAAATGACGGAATATGGACGAGCCATGTGTTTATCAGACCAAAACAAATCCGGCAAAACACTTCATGTTACAGGGTTGTCAGTCGTGCCCCATGTGCCAGAAGACGAATAGAAACTTTGAGCATAGTCTGGAGAATTCTGCCGAACTCAGCTGTGTTGTGTCATCAGGAAATCGGCTGTTGTACCCTATTCTGTCAAAGATGGCCCAGTCGCGCCCTCAATGGCGCTTGTGCATCCAAGCCATTGCCTTCATCACGTAGCTCCCTTCCCAATCCCCCCAGTTAACTGTCCACTGCTGTATTTACGCACCAATTTATCAACTGTCGCCTCCAGTGCTTAGTTGCCTACCCCGCCTCTCCAAATCGTCGATTTACATGGCCATGTATGATTTTAGCTCCGACCAGTTGCTGACTCATCTCAGCTGTTTTATCCAAACAGTTACAGCCTTTGAGAAAGAACCTTAATGCACTTGAACGTTAAATCCACTCGTCGGGAAATAGACAGTCCGGATGCGAAAACCTGAAGTTGATAATTAAAAGACACCTTGAGCAATCTTACTACGTTCACCGAAAGAGTCCCAGTCAGGCTGAAATGCCTCATGGGGATTCCACTGCTAACATTTGGTGAACAATAAAAGTAAAAAATCCAACGAATCAGAATTTGATTTCACGAGAGACTCGACTGAATCTCTCGTTTATGATATTCTACAACTGAATGTGCTGCACACAGGCCGCCTCATGTTTCAGTTGGCACGATATTCGAGATATCGCAGTAGATTTTCATAAAAGAAACTACACACAAGGTTGCTTAAAACTCTTCGACAGTCCACGACCAGTTTCGCCCTTATTGGGGCTCATCAGGTAGGCGCGGTCCCTGAGTTCCCGTCAACCTTATGTTCTACTTGAACGCAAATTGGACTGTTTTCGAGAAATACACTCATTTGCAAATCAATTTGGTTTTCACGAGGGATATCAAAAGAGAGATTCAGTTGAGTCTCTCGTGAAAAACCAAATTGACTCACAAATGAGTGTATTTCTCGAAAACAGTCCAATTTGGGTTCAAGTAGAACATAGAGTTGACGGAAATTTGGGGACTGTGCCTACCTGATGAGCCCCAAGAAGGGTGAACAGGTCGAGGGCTGTCGAAAGTTTTAAGCAACCTTGTGAGTAGTATCCTCAATGAATCAGAATCTTATCGTTATCTAGTCTCATTGGTACAACAACAACAAGCACATAGCTTTTGTCCTCCTTATTTACCTTCTTCAATAACAGGTTAACCAAATAGTCAAACGTGTGAACCCCACGGTCATCTCTATTAGAGCCAAACGGCCACTATGTTGTTTGTAGAATCGATGAGAAAACTCAGCAGCTTTAATACCTAGATGTCGTGCTCAAAGTGACTATCAAGGTGAATGTCTTACGCTGCCATTTCGTTCATTAAGAGGGGTTGTGGTTATGCTTTAGAATTCAAGCTACTTCATCGTGGATCTTAGACTGCTTCGATTGTATCACCGAATTTGCCGAACTTCCTTTCTGAGGAGAAGTAGTTGCAAAGACGGAAGAGTTCATACCCTCATAAAAGTACAGGCTGGATGCGAATTTGGCTCTACATGGGTTGTTCTTTCTTGGAATCCTGACATAACGTGGATTTCAAGTGATGTTGAGGGTTTTACTTTTGCCGCGAATGTTCTGACTCCATTTAAAAACGAGACATGAACGCGCTTCCGATTCGTGTGCGCTTTTCTGGTGTTTGTAACTCAGTACAAGTTACCTTTCCCACGATTCGCAAACCGAAAAAATTCCATCTGGTTTTCACTAGCTGGCCTGTGATTTCGGTCCAAATTAGTTCCGTTGCCTAGCCACGTTGAAATCAGCTGAATATGGGATCGATTATAAATTTTGAATTTCCCATTATCGATTACCTTCTCAGTGGGTGGATTACCTCCTCCGGATATTGATCAGTGGAAACGTATTGCTCGTTTGTCTTTTTCAACACGATTTTCAATCCTGACAACAACAAAACAGCCGTCACACGCTAATAAAATCCATTTACGTTATCCCTGTGATTGATTGTCTGGAATTACGCTGCTGGTTTCATAAGGCACATCGCAGTAGAACAGAGGCCGATTTCATTTTAAACGGGGCGAAGTAAAAACTACAACCCTGAACAAACATTTGACTCATGCGCTGGAACGCCTAAACAGAAGTTGGTTGTTCAGTATTGTCAGTGTACCTTAAATATTATAGGTGTCAAGGAGTGACCAGGACCAGAAAGACACTAGTATCAGGCGGTGTGGCCCCTGCAAGATGATTTCTGCGTCCCTGTCAATGAGCACTTTTTCAAAGAACGAGTCTTTAGGGTCTTTTCGTGAATGATTTGCACGTGCCCCACTTTCAGCCTCGAGCTTGACGTCGGTGATGAGGTTCAGCTATGGACTGAAGTACTCGGG